CTCTCGAGACTGAAGGATGCCTATGCTATGTTCTACCTGAGAGAGGACCCAAGGCAGCATACAGATATTTAAAATAATTAATTAAAAGCAAGCCAATTAAGATTTAGATGTACAGAAAAACTTTAAAACATTGTTTTAAAACTGTAAAAATTCAAATCATCTCCCTATTTCAGTTCTGCCATTCCTAGGTAATAGGTCTATATACACATATAGCTGTGGTTGACTTGACTTTTGTCTCTCCCTCCAGTGAAATTTGTGATGAAAATACCTTGCCCAGTGGTTGTGTCGGTCAGTGATTGAGGGACTGGAAAAAACGCTGTACAGAGGTGAACTGGATCTCTGTCTCCTGGTGGTTCGAAGAGCTCAAAGGCTGCTAGGGTATTAAAAGCCAAAGTAGGGAAGAACCGGGGTTTCATGAAGTCAATTGAATACGTGTGCGAATACATCAATGAATACAGTGAAGGTTTTTGTTCAGTGGCAAGGACAGATGTGTCGTTGAGCCATTCATTGGTTCTGTCCATAGGTTGACTTTGTTCAGGATCAGATACTGTGCTACCTACATCATTGAGTCTGAACAAAGATACCAGCGACTAAAACAGTGGAGTTGGAAGCAGCTTTTAAGGCCATCCAGTCCCACCTCCTGTTCAAGCAGGAATCCCAATCATAGCAGATCTCTGACAAATGGTTTCCCAGTTTTCTCTTGAATGCCTCCAGCGCTGGAGCGCTCACCATCTACCATCTACCGAAGTCAAGGGTTCCACTGTCATAGTGCTCTAACAGGAGTTTTTTTTCCTGATATTCAACAGAAATCTGGCTTCTTGTAATTTGAGCCCTTTGTGATGTGTCCTGCACTCTGAGATCCTGCCCTTCCTCTCAATGAGTGCCTTTCATGTATTTGAAAAGTGCTATCCTATCTCCCCTCAGTCTTCTTTTCTCCAGGCTGAACACGTCCAGTTCTTTTAATCTTTCCTGATCAGTCTTGTTCTCCAGTCCCCTGATCATCCTTGTTGCCCTCCTCTGAACTTGCTCCATTTTGTCAGCATCCTTCTCAAAGTATGGTGTCCAGAACTGGACACAGTACTGAAAAGCAACTTGTTTTTCCTTAGGTGTGGAACTTTAGGTGTGGAACTTGCAGTCCCCTGGACTGCAAGGAGAACAAACCTATCAGTTCTAAAGGAAATCAACCCTGAGTCTTCACTGGAAGGACAGATCCTGAAGCTGAGGCTCCAATACTTTGGCCATCTCATGAGAAGAGAAGACTCCCTGGAAAAGACCCTGATGTTGGGAAAGTGTGAGGGCAAGAGGAGAAGGGGACAACAGAGGATGATATGGTTGGACAGTGTCACCGAAGCGACCAAGATGAATTTGACCCAACCCTGGGAGGCAGTGGAAGACAGGAGGGCCTGGCGTGCTCTGGTCCATGGGGTCACCAAGAGTCGGACACAACTAAATGACTAGACGACGACATGGAACTTTACACTTATCACTGTTAAATTTCATGCCTCCTTTAAGGAGATCATCAGAATTCTTAGAATCGGGCAGATGGGAAAGCCTTCTTCAACTGGATGGATGCTCTGGATTACAGACCGTCATCGTCTCTAGCCTGCCTGGCTCTGCTTCTCCATCATGGCTGTCTTCGAAATGCTCTTAGCAGGCACTAGAGGGCAGTGGTGGCACACGGGTGGTCCCCTTGTACGTGACAGGTGATGCAGAAGCAATATCAGAGTATGTTCTCCAGGGAAAGCTGGCACCAGCACATTCTCTTTCCTCAGCAACAGAATACCTTAAAAGAGTTGAGGATGCAAGCAGAGTGGGAAGCCTGCTGCAAGGCTTGGTTTCTGTTGACAAGCTTTGTCTGATCTGGCATTTAAAACCATTTGGTTACTAGAATGTGCACAGACCTGTTTACCAGCAAGCAGATTATGAGCATTTCACTAGACACAGAACAAATTTGGAAGTGGAAACACTCATTACGGCCATCTCCATAGCCGCCACCCACCACGCCATTAATAAAATCTGGAAAACTAGCACGCTCTGTATCATCAAATGCAGTGCAGATCTTTTGTAAAGTTAATAGCTCTCATTTGCCTGTTCTAAAGCTTTAGCATCAAGTTGCTGCGACTGCTTTTTTGTGGCATGTCTGATGAAGAGATCTGTGATCTCAAAAGTTTGCATAGATTTATGTGCCCTTTTGATAGCTCTTCTGAAAGTTTTGGCAGAGTATGGGTCTTGGGGTGCGCTGTTTCTATGTGAGATTGTTTTTGAAGCACTGTATTGGCTGCTGAAATAAAAGCAGAAATAAAAGCGGCCTTGGATTCCCTCGCCTCCGGCAAGGCACCTGGAAAGGATAACATCCCTGTTGAAGTGCTGTAAAGAGATCATCACCACCGAGCTGTATGAAATCTTTGCTGGAGGGAAGGTGGAGTACCACAGGACATGAAGGATGCAAACATCGTCACATTGTATAAGAACAAAGGAGATAGGGGCGGCTGCAGTAACTACCGTGGCATCTCTCTTCTCAGCATTGTAGGGAAGCTACTTGCCTGTGTTGTGCTGAAGAGGCTCCAGGTGCTTGAAGACAGAGTCTATCCAGAATCACAGTGTGGATTTCGAGCTAATAGATCCACCACTGACATGGTATTCTCCCTCAGAAAGTTGCAGGAGAAATGCAGGGAACAACAGCCACTCTTTGTGACCTTCTTAGATCTCACAAAGGCCTTTGATCTGGTTAGCAGGGATGGCCTTTTTGAAATACTTCTGAAGATTGGATGTCCACCTCGACTCCTCAACATCATCAGGTCCTTTCATGAGGGAATGAAGGGCACTGTAGTTTTTGATGGCTCGACATCAGATCCCTTTGGCATCCAAAGCGGAGTGAAACAGGGCTGGGTCCTCACGCTGACTCTGTTTGGGATCTTTTTTGCTGTCATGCTGAAGCAGGCCTTTGGAACTGCAACTGAAGATGTCTCTCTCCGGACTAGATCAGATGGAAAGCTCTTTAATCTCTCTAGATTGAGAGTGAGGACCAAAGTCAACTGAAATGCATACGGGACTTCCTCTTCGCAAATGATGCAGCCATTGTTGCCCACTCTGCTGAAGACCTCCAACAACTCATGAATCGTTTCAGCAAGGCCTGCCAAGACCTTGGACTAACAATCAGCCTGAAGAAAACACAAGTCATGGGCCAGGGCGTGGACTCACCTCCCTCTATTACCATCTCCACACAAGAATTGGAGGTTGTTCATGATTTTGTGTACCTTGACTCAACGATCTCTGACACTCTCTCCCTAGATGTTGAGCTGGATAAACGCATTGGCAAAGCAGCTAACATGTTCTCTAGACTCACAAAGAGAGTTTGCCTTAATAAGAAGCTGATGTCTCGACTCACAAAGGGAGTATGGCTCAATAAGAGGCTGATGTCTATAGAGCACACTCCACATTTTTGGTATCACCTGACAGGACAAAGTTCCAAATAGAGTAGTCATAGAACGAGCTGGAATTTTTAGCATGTTTTAGAGTAGTCATAGAACGAGCTGGAATTTTAGCATGTTTTATACATTACTGAAACAACGACATCTACGTTGGTGTGGGCATGTCGTGAAAATGGCTGACTGTCAGCTCAAAAAGATCTCCTGTATGGAGAATTAGTCCTGGGGAAGCACCTCAGAGGGAGACCACAGCTGTGATACAAGGAGATTTGGAAGCTGGATACGAAGGCCTTAGGAATGGACCTCAACAGATGGGAAACCC